AAGAGAGGCCTCTACGCTTATAAGCACATATTTCTTTCATAAAATAGCACTTCTAGGGTCTGTAAGATGCTTTCACTGACTCCATTTCTTTTGACTGTCACATGTTTGTGAGGTTGGGTCACTGTCCCTGCCTCCTGCAGGCCTGGTCACCCCCAACTGCCCTCCCCTGCAGGCCATCTTGTGTTAACCATCTTGTGGTGACGTGAGGGTGGCCATCTTGTGATGATGTCGCAGGTGACACCGCCTAGGTTTTTATGATATAGGGAAGGCATTATTTAGCTCTTCTTGTAGCATGGGAATAATGTTGAATGGGGATGAATTGAATGACCCATTACAAGAGACTTCACTGTGTACTCAAATTCATAGTCTAGTAGAGACGATAGGCATTCAAATTCACAAATGTAAATTAGTTTAAAAACCATAATGATAATTGCCCTCAAGATAAAAGTTTGGCCCAAGGGAGAGTTTGGTTAAATCTGTCTGGATGGGACAAGGAAAAATACCATGAAATAGAAACAACTTGAGTTGGGCCTTGAAGGTTGAGAAGTACATCCAAGATTGCTGAGGAAGGAGGGGTATTTACTAGATGGAGACAGGCTTCCAGGGAGGACTGGATAGTCTCTACCCTGTACTTGGTCCAGATTTTCTGCATGTAGAAGGGAAGTCACGGATCTTAGTATCTGGGTTAAGGATAAAGTGGCAAATTTATGAATCCAGAACTTAGAGGACTTCTTCATGCCAACATGACCTTTCGCTTTTTACAGCTTTCAGTTATAAAATGAAATGTGAGAGAAAGGGAAAAGATACTTTGGATCTATGAATAGCCCTTAAACAAGGATTGGTTAGGATCAGAGCCCCTTAACGAATTATTTCCCTCCCTGTGGCTTAGTATAAAAAAATATGCTAGTCCTCTTTAAGAAGTGCCCTGGTCAGTGTGCTCAGTGGTTAGAGTCTAAGCCCCTGCACTGAAGGGTCGTGGGTTCAATTCCTGGTCAAGGGCACCTACCACAGTTTTGGGTTCAATACTCGAGCCAGCGCATGTGTAGGAAGCAACCAATCTATGTGTCTCTCACATTGATGTTTCTTTCCTTTCTCTCTCCTCCACCCTCCCTTCCATTCTCTCTAAATATATCCTTGGGAGATTAGCAAAAAAACGTTTAACACTTGTTTGAGCTCATTCTCTGGCATCTGCCTATTGTTTCCCCCTGCTCTGGTCCCTGGAGTTAGAATGGAGAGCAGGTAGATGAAAAGTGAAGACTTAAAATGAGTATACAACATATGTAAGATAAGAGCACACTTACCAGTTTTCATTGGTATGTGTGTCTCAGATTCAAAGATTTTGATTTTTAGGTATGCGTTCTACCCGTCAGAGTTTCAAGCATTATGAATGTTCACTTAGTATCAACAGATGGAACTGATGATGAGATCATACTTGAAATATAAATTACCTGATATCCTGCCAAATGAAATATTGTGGCAGTCAGGATTCATTTTTATCTAAATGAAAAGAAAAATTCCCCAAAGAGGACATGTTAATTACTATATCTTGCTCCATTTAGTCTTTCCTTTTGTGATGTTTGCCTGTAATTATTTTTTCAAATCTTACCTAGATTGTCCCTACTTCCTCTCCCCAAACCCAGGACTCTCTCCCTTGTTTCCTATTGGACGCACAGGTAACATGATGATCAGAGTCCTCTCTTAATGTACATGCTCATGCCTCATTTATTCTGTTACTGGGACTTCTTCCCTGATAATAAGTGAGGCAATGTTCCTTTTATTCATTTTTGATGACCTATGAAGATGTGTTTTTTGTACAATACTAATTGACATCTTACTATTTTTTTCTCTCTTTACTTATTGTCATACCAACATTATTTAAAGACTTTTTGTTAGTTTGATGATTTTTGCATGTTGTAAAAATGACAAACATTGGCCACACATGTCAAAGTAGCCTTCCTGCTCCCTGGGATCAATCCACAGCTTGGTAGTTTTTTAGTTAGTGCTTCTTCTTCTTCTTCTTTTTTTTTTTTTTTTGCATCATGTGATTATTAGGCTTCATGTCAGTATTAGGCATCCAGGTTGTTATTTTCCTGCCTACAGGACTTTTACACTAATAAAACAAAAATAAATTCAACATTTTGTTATCTGATTTTTCAGACTTTTAAATAACACTAGACCTGAAATAATACAAAACCCTAGGATACAATCTTTGTTAAATGGCAAAGAAAGTTGGCTGTCTAAAAAGAACCACTAATCTTAATAAAAAATAAATGGCAACTTTTCAATATAGTGCAAAAGACCAATAATTATAATTTCAGAGCCTGGTTAAAAACTTGAAAT